GAAACATGAGCCACTGGGGGGGCCTCGTTCCCCCTACCAGGCCTCCAGATGGCCCCGGCCCCAACGCTGTGTGGGCCCTGTCAGAGCACGCAGTGTGTGTGTCAATGTGCGTGTGTGTGTGTGTTTGAGAGACAATACCATCTGCCAGGAGTGCAAGGGGAGTTCAGCAGATGTATTTGCTGACACTAGGGGTGCAGTAGGGTATAGGCATCATACTGTATGCATGTATGTGAGTGTAGGGACTCCCACCATGCTGTTGTTGGAGAAGAGAGATGGCTAAAGTAACACACACAGACACACACACACATTAACAGACTCAAAGATATGTGCAGGTAACATTCACAACACACACTCACACACCCCACACAGTGAACTGTGTTTGTACAAAATATACAACATCATGATTATTGTGATTAGACATTGTTATCAGTGTGTCCCTGTTGAACCCTTTTATGTGAGGTGTTCCTCTCCAAAGTGCCAGATATATATATTTATATCACTTTTTTAGGTGAGCTCGGTTTCATGGATGACATGGTTTGCCGCTACCTGAAACTAATCTAGTCAATAAACAACTAAACAAGATTTTACAGTTGTAAAACAATGACTGATTCTGTAACAGCAGAATCACAGACCTATTTCTTGCCTTAGATATATTACAAAAACAAAAACTAATGTGTGGGAATATGATGTTTTCATAACAGGTGCCATATTTTTACAGTTTAAAAATAAGGAGACTGATGGCAGCTCAGCAAGTGGTGCGTTCATCCAGTAAGATGGAGGAAGGTTTCATGTTGTTTTATGAGTGGAGGAGATTGTCAATCACACTTTAAAGATTTATTGATATGTTGAGCTGGTGGTGGCTTGGATGAGAGAGTGCATATGAGAGCAAAGCTCTTGAAAGAAAAAGAATGCAGAGGCCAAGTGTTCAATCAGCTTCACATACATCAAGTCCAGGAATCATTAAAGTCTTCTTGAAGATGAAAAAAGAACATTCACAGAAAAAAAAATGCTCTTCAAGCACTCAGGCAGGGTAAGGATAAAGCCTTTATGTAGTCAGGCATAATGGTTTAAAATGTCGACCAGCTTTGACCTCAAAGGGTCTTCAAATCTCTTGCTATGTACTAATCCTACAACACAAGCTTAAGCAGAAACTTGGTGCCTTTTAGGTTTTCCTCCTTTCTTTTATCCTTCCTCCTCTCCTTCCTCTTCTTCCTTCATTAATGTACTTTAATATAGTAGAAGTGTGAATCTTCACTGGCCTTGCGATTCGATTACAATTCACCTGTCAATGATTCAAATGCACAACAATTCTCAATGTATCTCAATGTTTCACATCCTCAAATTTCTGTATGACTGCACATAGCTACTTTCACTGCATCAATGCAGAATCTTCCATGTTCACATTGCAATGCATCTTGGAATCAATACATTTCCTTTATAATCTAGCTAGATAAAGATTTTAAAAGACTATACTAGATTTTTTTAAATAAATTTTGCACACATTTAAAAAATCATTCACAGTAAAAGAACAGTAACTTGAACTGCATCCAGCCTTCTGCATGATAACAGGTTTAGGGTGAGCCTCCCAAGCTTTGTAACCCAAAGGCCTGCCAACATAAAACATGGATGCACTATTGATCAAGTCCTTTCAAATGAGGCAAATGATAGTAAGAGAGTCAAACATTAACACACGCAAACACAAACCTCGCTCAGCTGCCCAGGGGACAACTGCAGGGTTAAGAGCTGAGAGTCAGTCGATCTGTGGAAGCTGAAATAAAAAAAGAAATAAAAGTATGTGTCTGCACACTGATCGGAAGAGAAGAGACAGATGGAGGAAAGGAGGAAATTGAAGGCGAACATGAGGGCTGGAAAGCAGCAGAGATGCAGCAGGAGTGGAGGTGTCTGTGAATGTTTTAAAGTGATGGAGGAGAGAGAAAAGGTTTGGAGGGTAGTGGGACACAATGCTGCCAGCTGGTTGAGGGAAAAAAAACAGACGGTAACAAAAAGTGTATTTATGCAAAAGTGCTTCCTGATGTCATTTTGAAATGTAAAAAATCCAGTATTTGTTGTTACTTACTTACTTACATTTCGTGAATGAAAATGAAACTGTTTTGTTTACTGCTGGTTTAATTCATGTTTTTTCAGAGGGGTTGTTGTATGGATTATGGTGAAGCAAGCCTTTTCCTCAGTGTGTTTCAGCTCACCTAATTTCTGTGGTCAGTTATCTATCAAGCAGCTATATACATATTATTCTTGTGTGATACTTGTTTATATACCTACTAAAGGCCAAAACAGGTGAAAGTTTTTTTTATTTTTGCTGCCTTTCACATTCAGGTGTGTAAAGATAACTTATATTTCCCCTCATTTTTTTTTGAATTACATTTAAAACCAGAAATTGTGATCCTACCAGTACTATAGGTATTATGTATTAAACATACATACGATAGAAAGGCCTTCCCCAAACCTCATTAACACTACCATGCAGCTGTCATTACATACATTTGAAAAGTCCAAAAATCCTTTTTATACAGTAATGTAAGTGGCTTAACTTTTCAGCAGCAGCAGTTGTCAGATGTCACCAGGACAATAGAAGAACAATATCACTCCAAAATGGCTGCATGTGACAGGTTTCCCTTCCCTCCACTGCACACAGTAACAACCTCAGGTCAGCTCGATAAAGATGATCATATGCTCTAAAATAACCATTCAGATATAATGTATCAAAACTGGGCCGAGGGTATGCTGAAAATAAGAGGATCAAATCAGTCAGTTTGGTTGGTATTGTGTTTTTTCCAAACCCAAAAGTTATACTGCTACTAAAAATATTGCCACATTACCTTTTAAATATGAAAGAATAGAAGGCCACGAGTATTGTGTTTCAATACGCAGGGGTTGTGTTTAAGTGTGTAATAATAGTAATAGTAATGGAAAGCCAAAAATCTTAAAACAATATATTTGTAATTGGACATAGTAGCATCTGTTGTTTTTGCAAGTACAGTTTTCAAGCATAGTAACATTAGATTTAATTCAGCACAGAGGGAGCCCCTGTCTTTTGAGTGCACATTACCAAACTGTGCGCTCAAGTGATGGAGTGCCCAATAAGTCTCGAAAAGGCAGGACAATCCGAGAGGAGAGAGTGGGCAAGTGAAGGGAAGGAGGGGCAGTTGGAAGGAAAAGGTGAAAGTAAGGTGAAACAGATTGAGGACAACAAAGGGAAGTAATGGAATGAATCGGCAATGAGTGAGCCAGCAGTGGCTTTCCTCAGAGGCTGCTGGAGGTTTTGGAAAGAATTCATCTTCTCTAACAAACAGCATCCTCCCTGTCAACAATTAATACATCACCGGACCATCAACTCATCTCCCCCCCCCATCACGTTTCTATGTCCCTTTTAATCTCCCTCCCTCTTTTCTCTTCTCCCTCCCCTTGATGTGTTGAATCTTATTAACACCATTTGCCATCCCAACACAACACACGCTCTATCAGCAGGCCGGTTTGTTGACTTGCTTACATCGCTCCTGCTATTCGCCTCTGCTTCCTGCACCCCCACCCCCCACTGCTTCTGTACATTTGTCACGCCAGCCTTCGCCCGTTTTAATTGGTGCTCGTTAGAAAAAAAAAATATGTTTTTGCTCCATTTTCACCAAGAAAAATAGTAGGAGGGGAGAAGTCTATGAAACTGTTAATTGATAGCGGAACAAGGACAACACTGGCAATTAGTGCAGGCTGACGGATGAGCAAGGCACTGCTCTGGAGACTTTGTTGACTACAGATAAATGTCCGGGTAGCCAGCAGGGCCATGTAGACGAGGGCCACAGTTTGATTCAGACCAAGCAGGAAGTAAGACTGAAAATTGGGTCTTCTTAGTTAGTATAAACACACATGCACATACACTTGTGCATAATAGACATAAACAAACATTTATATTAGCCGACACACACAGATACAGGCATAAAAATGTAGCTGGGTTTATCTACTAGTTTTGAGAATATATGCCTCTCTCTCTCTCTCTCTGACTCTGTCACTCTCTCTTTCTGTCTCTTTATTTCTGTACACTGTCGTGGAAACGCTGCGGCACGGGGAGTTGAACTGCTTTTGTTTTGTGATAATATGATCTGTACATGTATTCTCAGTGTGCTGTGTAGAGCCTGAACAATGCTGGATTTTTGATGCTGACACAAATATTGATATATGGGTGTAAAAATGAAAAAATTTCACACATAACATAAACAAGTATCTATATAGGGTTGGCTTGGAAGGATTATCAACTTGGCAAGCCATGAAACTGTCACAGCAACCCAGACCTTAAGGGGCCCCAAAAGCCTCTGGTCAGTTGTTATCAATTGAATGTAAGTGTTTTGATAATTGCACATTTGTATGCGAATTTCTGCCATAAAAAGTACAATACCAATCAGTGCAGGGTCTGCATTATGGGCCAGTTTTATGAAGGGCCATATGTGTAAAATTATTTTGACTATATTTTAGTTTTTACCATGCTTACATGGTACTATTCATACAAAAAGTTACCCTGGGACCCCTAAAAGCTTTATCACGGCCACTGGTGGACTAGGTAGAGAGGGTGATCACCCTCCTGCTGCCCCTGTGGTAGATAAAACATGATAAAATACCCTCCAGGGTGCCCTTCCAGTGGAGAAAATGACATGCACCGCATTCAGCTAGTCCACCATTGGATGAGGCCATGGTTGGACCAATGTGTCAGTCTTTGTCTGTTCATTCGCTCATCAGTTTTCAACAGATTTCAATGAAGTTTGATGGAAAGACCTGAGGAACACGTGATTAGTTTTGTAAAAAAATTCTAATCGCAAGTTACTTGCTGAAGCTTTCAGACACTTCTCATGGCATTGATGAAACTCTAAATAAGTAGTCATTAGTTTCTTACTCTATTTCAATGCTCAACTCAATTCTCACACTTTGTTCTCTTTTTTTCCTCTGCATTCCCATTTCTTGTCCCTGTGCCTCCTCCTCTCCTCTCTTGTCTTTAGGTGAGCCTGCAGTAGCCAGAGAGAATAACTGTCTGAATGCTGCCAAGGCCTGCAACCTGAATGACACATGTAAGAAGTACCGCTCGGCCTACATCAGCCCCTGCACCAGCCGTGTCTCCACTGCTGAAGTCTGCAACAAGAGGAAGTGCCACAAGGCCCTGCGGCAGTTCTTTGACAAGGCAAGGCACTTCTGACACAAGCTTATCAAAAAAAGAAGAAAGAGAAAAAAAAAACACTGAAAAGCACACACACTGGAGGTTTTCCAAACGACTGATATCTGATAAAAGCCGAATGTCCACCACAAAGGACCTGCTTCAAAAGGAAGAATGATTTTGAAGTGGATAAGTTAGAGGGGTTGTCACAATCACAATAAATAATCATGTGGGCCTTTTTGTTCAGGGTTTGCTTTTCCAGTGCAGAGTTTTGACATTGATTCAGTCATCAAACGCAAAAGATGTTTTTGCTGTCTGTGCCATATTGTAAAAAATGATGTGAAATATTGTAATTACAACCCAGCTCCAATGAAGTCCCTTTAGAATAACTTAACAGGGATCACAACAATATGAATAAATAGAAAACTACAAAGAATGCATGACATTGTTAATCTTATTGCAATGTATAATTTTGTTTTCTTTTTTCACAGCAGAGAATTCTTTGTGTGAACAGCCTTAAGCTTTTGTGTTGCAGATAAAACTATGATGACATTCTTCCATTGTAGCCCGACTGTGTCGTTACAGCCATCTTCTGTTACAATCTACAGAGTCACTCAACACATCAGAATGAATAGATGTTGCAATGTTAAATAGGCAATAGAGAAAATGTGCATAATAATCTGCAATATTCTCTGTAAAATGCATGTCTTTACCTCAGTATTTGGTGGTTGTTTGTTTTAATGGATCATCAATGTTGAAGATGATGAAGAGGTTGACAAAAGGTGGTTTGAACTTAAAAAATCCTCCAACCCACAGGAAGTGATATATTTATATTTGCAACAACCTCAGCATTCTTTTATTTGGAATAAAGAGAGGAAATTGGTAGTCAGTAGAACAAGATGGAACATGATCAACAAAGAAAAAAACAACCAAAATCCAAGGGAAAGAAGTACCTCAAAGGGTAGAACGTGGACAGAAAATGTGACCAAAATAAGAATAAAAAGGAAAGTCTTGCAGATGACTTCACTTCTACACTTAATGTTGTGTTTTGATTATTGTGCCTCACAGGTTCCTCCGAAACACAGCTATGGCATGCTGTTCTGCTCATGCCCACTTAGTGACCAGACAGCATGTTCTGAACGCAGGCGTCAGACGATTGTCCCTGTCTGTTCGTACGAAGAAAAACAGAAACCCAACTGTCTGGAACTGCAGGCCTCCTGCAAGACCAACTACATCTGCAGGTAGGAAACAGTAGGCCTTCAAAATGCGTTAATTTCCATTTTTTTATATGTTAAGGGCCTTTATTAGACAGCTTATAGTAAAGAGAGTAAAGAGACAACTGGAAATAAGGGTACAGAGAGATGGGGAATGGAACGCAACCAAGGTCCCCCGTCAGATGCGAACCTGGGACGCCGTTAAAGTTGACACGGATTTCTGATCTCTTGATCGCACAAGCTGCCTTGCAAGGTTTACAGTAACTTACAGTGTATAATTGTAATAAAGAGCTTTGTATCTGACAACACTTCCTCTGGTCACTTACATGTTGGGGGACGTCACATCGACGTACACTAATTCCCTGGAGACTGGCCTAAACCTTACTCGAAAGCTAATCTTAACCAGGAACCAAGTTATAAACCCTAAAACGTAATTGTTAACCTGGTGGGGACTAGCGTTTTTTTCCAAATGAGAGGTAAGTCCCCACAGTGTGATTAAGTACAAACAGGCACAATTAACAAACATGGCCAACATGCTCTTTACATTGTAGTCACTGTAGTCCCACTGTGGTGTATGCCTCACGTCTCAGATTCACACACACACAATTACACACACATGGAAAAAAGTAGTTCAGTGATGGACATCTGACATCACCCTCATTGGATCGTGTGTGTGTGTGTGTGTTATGCAGTCTATGAGCCTGCAGCCTGCAGCAGTGTGGCTGTCTGGGATTAAATGGAAGCATTAGGCATCATAAATGAGCTCCATTTGGACTGTGGCCTCAGGTCCCCCCCCCCACCCTCTTCACCCTTTGTCTCTACTTAACAGCAAGCAGCATGACAACAGTAAATTCATACTACAAGTTTCTGTCCATCCTTCCGTCTCCCTCTCTTTTTTCTTTGTGTGGCTCTCCCTATCCATCAGACATACGCTCAGGGTTGAACAACAGGTCTCACTGCAGCGCGGCTTCCTCCCAGTCCATTTGTCAGTTAGCACAGATAGATTAAAGCCATGCATTTCCACAAGCTCCCTCACCATATGTCAGGTGTAGTATACTGGTTGCTGCTGACAACTCTCACTACACACTGCTCTGCTCTGCACCAGATTGGTGTGATTAGATAGATCACACTGTGAGTGCATATATGAGAGTGTGTGTGTTTCGGTACATGTTTGCAACTATTTCCTAGTAGCAGATTGTAGCTGTCTCATTCAGATAAACATAGAAATCTGCTCTGCTGTTTCTGAATTGAAAAATCCAAACTTTAAGTTAAAGTTTGTTTGTGGAGTTTTTAACCTTATGTTGTGGAATAATGAGCCTCCTGGTTCCTGGTGACAGTTTCACACTGTTCCAAGAAATATAGCAATGTGCCCCTAAAAGACAGAAAAGATAAATATAAACAATGCAGGATTTTAAAGTGTTTTAAAAACTGGGTTTACCTATTTTTTTTTTCAGCAATAGTTAAGCCTCGAAAATATGAGTCTTGGGGAAGAAACACAGAATGTAAATATACATTTGTTACCTCAAGATACCTTTAAGTTATATTGTCTTCCTGATTAAAAGGTCTTATCTGTCAAGGAAAAATCATTCTTTATTTCTGCGTACGTATTTTTCGTTTTATTATTTAATGTTAATAAATGTATTTATTATTATAAAACTTTTTTATTTTATTTTATATTTATCAATCAGAGACAATGCAGACCAATAAATATTGCAGTTTACACTTCAATGTAAATGTGCCAGAGTTAGCTAATAAGCTAATTTTCATCCGTAATGACCTGAGCAGGTTATAACACATTATTTGGGGGTTTTTATTCTTTCATTTTTATTATGTTACTTTTGTTGTACTACGGTGTTCTTTTTTTTGTAGCTTTGGCTGTCACTCCTCAGGACTATACTAGGGATTTGTTTGACCTTTGATGCTCCTGCTCTGTTAGAAAAAATCTCCACAACTATTATAAAAAAGTAAAATATTACCAAAAGGAATGAAAAACTGCAAGCATATGATCGATATTGAAAAGAAAAAATCCCTTTCCATAAAGATGTTACAGTCACAATGACATTAGAAGGTTTGCTTTGTGTCAAAGTGCTAGTATATCACACACAGTCTAACTTCAAATGGTGAATTCCTTGGGAATTCAAACTCCATTTCAATTTCACATGCCACTGCACCTGTGGCAAAAGTGTAAACAAACATTTATGAAGGCAGTAAATGAAACAGAACAGACTTGGTGGAGAATTGCCTTTAGCCTCATTCATTCCAGGATATAAACCAGCCACGGCATACGTAAGAGGGTCATCTTACTCCACTGAAGGCAGCCATTAAGAAGGCTAATTGCATTGAGAGAAATTACTTCCAGCGTTCTCTCATTTGGACCGGGCATTTTGCCTCACATTCCAGTCACATTGGCCTCATATAAAATGTCTCATATAAAATCCATTGTAGGTATAATCATGTTTGGCGCTGAAATATTTTTGGATGTGTGTGTGTTGCAGGTCACGACTGGCTGACTTTTTTGTCAACTGCCAGCCGGAGCCTCGCTCGCTGTCAGGCTGTCTGAAGGAGAACTACGCAGACTGCCTCCTCTCATACTCGGGTCTGATTGGTAAGTTCACATGTACACTTGACTGTTATTGGTCAGCCTTGTCTCATTTACTCCAGGTCTCTGTGGATTGTTCATTTTCTTAAATAACACCTTTAAAGGATGACCCTAAGTATTTTAAGATGTTGATCTTCTTTTCATTGTTTTGTTTCTATTGCTTATGATAATATTACACTAACGCAAGTTAGTGCTGAAATCTGGACACAGAAGTTTGATAGGGCAAAAAACATGAGCAGTCAGGTGATCAGACAACTTGTAAACACACCCGCAGTTTAGCCAGATCATCTAAACCCCTTTAGTAGGGGTAAAACCAGAAGTGAGCACATCTGAATAAAAGTATATTACATAAATGCTTGAATTAGAGTACCGGAACCTCTGATGTTTTCCCTTATAGGTATCCCTATTTCTTACTGCATACCAGCACCTCTGGTGAACACTGGTGCACACAAGTAATAATGAAAACAGTGGTGAAAATGTCCTTGTTGAAATCCATTAAGCTAAAAAAACAGCAACAGCAAAAACAGAGGACTGAGACTGAGACACAAGGAAGGTTTGATAGAGATTTATCAGCTTGGAATAATCGAAATTCAGCTCCTGCCAAGACTCCCTCCTTGCTAACTTCAGCAAAGCTACAATGCAGATATCACCAAGGCTATGCTGAAATTGACAGCAAAGGAATTGCTGAGATTTGGAAACACTGCAACATCCCTACATGTCTGACAAGATGAAAAACATGAGCAGATGATAAGGCAAGTTGTAACACTTTCTACAGATTATTTAAAGGTCAAGTGTGCAGGATTAAGTGGCATCTAGCAGTGTAGTTGCTACACTCCTCACCCTCCTGTTCCAAGTGTGTAGTAGAAACTACGGTGGCTGTGAAACTCGCAAAAAAACGGAAAAGGCCATATCTAGAGCCAATGTTTGGTTTGTCTTTTCTGGGCTACTGTAGAAACATGGCGGTTCAACATGGAGGTAGATAAAAATGGCTCATTCTAAACGATTCCTATGTTCAGTTGATTATACACTAACAAAAACGTAGCTATAAATATTATATTCGATTTCTGCCAATAGATCATTCTAAATGTTACACATTGAACCTTTAAAGTACGTTATTTGTAAATAAAATTGAAAGTGAGTTTTCTTTGAAAAGGAGGTAGTAATCCTATATGGACCATAAAAACTGTATGTGTAAAAATACGTAATACGTAATAAGTACAGTAGGTCAAAGCTGAAGCAGGAAGTGGGTCCATAGATTGTGATGGATGTTTATTGCCTTCATTTTGTCTTCCAAATAAGTTTGTCTGACCTGGTTGAGCTGATTGTCTGACTGCTCGTGTTTCTTCTTAAATGCAACCTTGTTTCCAGGTCTCAGCAGTTGACTTAGAGAGTTTGAAGTTACAACCAATACAAACGATGGACAAAACTATGAAATTAAGACCCAATTTGTATTTCCATTAATGGAACTCCTGGTGTAACCCCAGTCTCAATCACTATGTGCACCAGCCAAAGCGTCCCATTATGTCCTCACCCCTGCGGTGAGCTGTCAGGAATCGGTCCTCGCAAGTGACTAAACCTAACCACACATGCACAGTGTCCACACAGTGCCAATTCATTCTGCCTACCGCAAAACAAAAAGGCCTGTTTTGGAGCGCAGCCAGCACAAGGGAACAATCCATTGGGGGAGTGAGAAATCACTGACTGAAGCTATTTACTTTCCTTCGCAGAGAGAAAGCCTATTCTTCACTCCGGCTTCTCTGCATTCTGCTTCCTGCAGAAACTCCACCACACTGCTTTACCCCTTTACACAGGGAGAAGAGAAAGAGAAATAAATTTAACAATGATTTAACTTTGTTTTTGCGGCATTCCTTATTTAAACCCGAAGGAGGATGATAACAAGTTGTAATGGGTTTAAATATGCTTTTTTTTCCCTTGACAGTCAGCAGCATATTGGGGTTCTTGTCAATAACAATTCACAGAGAATCCTTGTTCATGGATCAGTTGATTTACAAAAATAAAGACGAGATGAATGCATGAATGAAAAATCGTTCTATCCGCTTGCTTCAGGTACCGTGATGACACCCAACTACCTGCGCTCACCCAAAATCAGCGTCTCTCCCTACTGCGACTGCAGCAACAGCGGCAACAACAAGGATGAATGTGACAAGTTCACCGAGTTTTTCACAGAGAACACCTGCCTCCGTAAGTTATCCCTCTGTCCTGCTGCTGTCTGACCAGCTGTTTACTGTTTTCTTCTTCTCTTTGCTATTGTACTTTAGTCTTATCTGCTCTTCTGAATTCTGGTCTATTTTCATCCACTGTGCTCTGCTAGACTCTTTCCTGTTTTGCTCTTTTATCCTCTCTTTTCTTTTCCTGCCTCTCCTTCTCTCAGTCTCTCCCTCTAACCAAATATATCCCATTGCCATGCTTGCATTGTTATCCCTCTGCATTATAGGGAAACCAGTCATATTGCACCATGGTGCCTGAATGTGTGTACGTCTGTGTTCGTTTGTGTGTGTGTGCCTAAAAGCCCTAGCAGAACTCCTGCTCCAGATCTTTGACAGAAAGCGGCTTTTTCATCCAGCCCTACACAGCAACTTTAATTAACAAGCCCCTTCAAACACACACACACACACACTGTTTGTCTCTATACCACACACACACACACATATATACACATCTATTACCCGGCCAAGAGTAATAAGTTGTGGGACATTCCTACGGAGCTGTAGAGATAAGAGCCAGATTCATTGTGTGTTTACCTGTAATCAGAGCTAATTCTGCTCCTTTTGTTTTGATAGTACACTCAGTGTCAGTCAGCCTGCTGCTTTCCTCCACAACACTGTTTAAGTGTAATGTGATTCTTCATTGATTCCTGAACAGAGGTCAGAACACAGGGTCACAGAGTATTTGCTCAAGGACACCTAAGCTGGATGAATGCCTGTAATCACATACACTTGAAGGATGGTTGCTGAAATCTGCTACACTTGATTGGATACAAACAGATTTAGTTTAAGATCTCTGGCCATTTCTTACAATTAAATCCTTCACAAATTACGAGATGTGTGTTCATCCAAACTGGTAATAATAGGGATTGAAAGGGATGAATAAATTGTCAAAACAGTGAATTGGCTATAATTGCATCTGGTGTGGCCGTCAGAGTTGGGTCTTAATGGCCAGTTCCATTTTTGGATCTGGTTACAAGTTGATGAAATAGCAGGGTGAGCTAAGCAGTGAGGCAACCAGATCTCTTATTAAATCTTTTATTTAGGATGCAGGCCTTTTTATTTTTAGCCAGTGCTTAATTAACACTTCCGTTGATTTAAATGCTGTTGCCAAGTGGCAGATCAGATGTCACTAATTTTTAGTTGTGTAAATACTGTAAATAAGCCTGGTTATTGTCTGGTTAATGTGCTTCATGTTAGCCTGTGTCTGTGCTATGTGATCATATGTGAGAAAAAGTATTGCTATCAAACTCTCCAACTGTGAGCGACAGTTTCTGCAGTCCAGACCAAAAAAGTCATGAGCCAATTGCTACACGTCAGTTTCGCAATCTCCCAGTTCAACCCTTTAAGTTACTAACTTTAGTGACTTACGGTGTTGAAAGTTGAACCTAAATAGATTAAATAAAGGATTTGAAGGGATTTTGATTATGTAAGGGGATTTGATATTGGATTCATGTTTGATAAAATGATTGAACCCCAATCCCAGTGTAAGTACAAGGGAATCTTAGACTTACTCTAGATGCTTAAATGAAATGCTAATGGTAGAGACACCACCTTTTCGCATGTAAATAGAAACTTAAAGATGGAATCCAAACTGTAGTGTGAGAACAGACACACACGACATGATGTTTTGTCTGAGGACATCTTATTAGTCAGTTCTAAGTGTGCCTTGATGTAAAAGTTGGCCAGAGAGATGAATTACTTTGTTCTAGCGAGTTCTCCGTTGGTCACTGTGTTGTTAAATAGGTGTATAATCTAGAGAATGATGTTCATTCTAAATAATGAGCCATAGTCACATTGAAGAGGATGAGATGCTGCAGGTGGTTGAGCAAAGTGGGTAGTCTGATTTTCCTCTGTCAGAATGACAGTTACCAGATGGGAAAACACCAACAAGATGCAGTCTCATTTTTACCAACTTTCCTCTTCCTCCTTTTGTTTTCTCTGCTCTGTTGTCTTTTTACCAGTCAGGGTTAACAAGGTTGGTCTGCCGTAGATAATAAGGGCTGCCACAGTCAGCGTGTGTGTCTGTGTGTGTGTTTGAGCCAGCATGTGTGCGTTTTACAAGTATGTAAATGAGACATGCACCGTTCATGTCATCATTTGCATGATTTTATACGTGTATAAGTGTGTCAATGTGAGATTTGTAAGATCAAAGGGGGTTAATGTGGGTTAAAGCCAGCTCTCTCTATATATATGTCTGTTATCCATTATTAGTCTCAATTCTGTACTCTCTAACTCCTCCTTTACTGCTTATTTATTTGACCATTACAACCCCATCCTTTTACTTGTTCTCCTCCTTGTGCTCACTTCTTTCTTCTCATCCCATTTCACTGTCTCCATCTCCCTCCTTTCATGCCCTCCCTCGTTCTGCTCTCATTAAGTTTGCTCAGCAGTAACTGGAACTGACAACTCTGAAGATCCTGACACACGCCGGCTACAGGGTCATGACTAGAGAGAAACTACAACAGCGAACGAAAGAGGAAAGACAGAAAGAGAGAATATGGAAAGACTGAGAGAGAGAACTTTTTGTTCTCACACTGCACTTTAGATGTTTTATTGTTCAGAGATGGAAGAGAGTTGCCTGGGATAAATGCCTGGCTCTTCTTTATTTACATGTCATACAGTGACAACAGAGAGACAGGTATTTAAATATATAAACATCCTCTAACGCAGTAGTTTTCAACCTTCTTAGCTCTTAAAATGAAGAACTTTCTACCTCATAAAAGGCAATACCATATGTCATATATGTATTGGTCCAGCAAAGGGTGTTTTTTAAATCAGTTTTTTAATCGGTAATTCTTTAGGCCTCATCCAGTAATTCAAATAAAGGAATGCTAGAAGAAAAAATTTAGCAATACCTTTTTTTCTTTTTTTCTATCCTGTAATGCTTCTCACAACTCCTGAGAGTTATCTTTCGATCCCTTGGAGGGAGAAAAACACTAGAGCTTTAATGTATTCAAAGCCTTTCCAGTGTGATGCCTCCCCATTTCCGGAATATGTACTGAATATGCAAAGGTCACACCATCCAACATGATCATAATTCTAGTATTACAGCTAAACTTGTACATGTAAAGTGAGATAAAGTGGTTATGTAGAAATCTGCGAGAGGCAAACTCATACTGCTCACACAAATATCTGCTGCAGTGGGAAGATGATATCACGTTTGTTTAAATGCACAGTGATGTTTGCATTAGTGAAGGTTAAATGAATATTTGGTTTAGTGCTTTGAAAATGTGTGTGTACTTTTTGTATTTTTTTATCTTTTTGAACCAGTTGGACTTTAAGACCTTAGAAGTGAAGATGTTTTTGGAAATCATTTGGTCTGGTCGTCACTTCTTAGAAAGGGTTGTTTGAAGGTTAAGACTTGCTTTTAGGGTTTAGAATAAGGACAATAAGAGTAACAGTGAATTGATGTTACAAGGTGATGCTCTCCTAAACTGCTTATAGGTCAAATGTGTTGATGTCATTCATTCCCAGAATAGGTGATTGGTTTTAGAAGCAGCAGCTCCCAGGAGACCATCAAGTCAGCTGCACATTGTGGGTTCAGTAACTATCAATGAGACACTTATATCCCATCTTGTGAATTTTAACTTGCTCCTTGCCTTCAATTTTGTAGCTTGTTTGCTTTTAAATGCTCTCTGTTTTATATTATAAAGCCCAGGTGGGCCTAAATAAATTGTCCATCATGGGGTTAAGGTTAGTGTTAGTGAGGGATCTCACACATATAGTGTATAAGTGTTTGTTTGTGTGATTTGGGAAAGTGGAACCCCAGTACATTGTATAGATCTTGTGTATCACATTTTGTTTGTTCAGTCTGCAGTGGTTGTGAATTCATTTTATGCATCCTAAGTAAACAGTAGCAGAGGTGCCATTAACTCTCCATTGAATCTATTGAGGAAAGGCATAAGATCTCTGTGTCTTTGGGTTTATTATCCAAATACACTCAAAGATCAGAGCTCTGCCTTTAAGGTAAGACTTTCACTTCTTGAAGTCTAATCTGTATGAAGTGGGATGAAACCATGAAATGTTGTTGTTGTTCTTGTTAGCTGGTGTTGATGACATTTACAGTCACAATGATGTTTGAGTTTGACATACAAAATGTTTTAGCTGTCAGTAAAGACAATTAGAACTAACTACCAGCTAATTTGCTGTCTGATCTGAGCTGGTGATCCAATGCAGCTCTGATACTGAAAGTGAGGTATGGTTTACAGAGTAAAAATAAAAATGCAATTGCCATATAATTATATTTACAAGTATGCATGTTTTTAAGCATACAGTTTTTAAAGAGGATCTGTTTGTAATTTTTTTGTAATTTTAATCTCCAGAGAAAGCTTAGTGCTATTTGAAACGTTTCTGTAATAGCTGACTGGAACCTTACTGTAAGCCTTCACTACTACCTTACATAAGGGAATAAAGTGGATCAGGAATAAGAGGACATTGTATAAACAGAGATGGCAGACAGGTAGCAAACAGAAACATAGACAGTATTTTATATTTGTATTTTATATATACAAACAGGAATCAACTAAGTACACGTGCATGTCAGAAATCCTGAGCCTTAATTTGAGATGCTGAACTGTTTTTCACACACGGTCACTGTGCTGTGTAATTAGGCCTTAGGTGAGGAGACAGAGTAGCCAGGAAAGAGCCCATCAACACTTACAATATGCTCATCAGCCATCTGCTGTCTCGACACAAAGCTACCAGCTACACAAGCACATGCTCGCACACATAAGCAAAAATTAAATATGCACATGCACACTCATGAGCAAAGTCGCACATATCAGAGCTGCAGGATATTGACAAAAATGACTTTTTTGTGCTGATTATTGCATCTTAGATATGAATGCCTGCACATGTCGGCAGCCTTTTGTACATCATTTTTCTTTTTTTAAGAAAATTAAAAATTTGTTCTAAATTCCAGTTTATTTCAGAGCCAAAGCTTGTTCCATTATATGTGCTGCCCCTCCCCCAGATACACATACACATACACAGATTAAAACAAAAATACATGAATTGAACTGATTAACTAATCATAAATAAAATATAAACATACACAAATTTTCTTTTGTAATAATATTTTCTTAATTGTTTGTCTGTTTGTCATTGTAAGTGATAGAGACATAGAGAAAGCTTTTCCATCTTTTGGGATGTCTGGTGTTACCAGAGGTCAGTTCAGCAAAGCAGACGAAGTGGAGGAGTCTCCGGCTCTGCTTAGTTCAAGATTAATAGTCACGTTTATTAAATGTGCAGAGTGGAACAAACTAAAAGGTTCTTTCTAGGTCAGGGTGAGTTTAAGCAGAAGCCACTTCCACAGGGGGAAGGAAGAGTAAGAGTAGAGCAGGGTGAGACCATGCTGCGTACAGTTCACTCTGACAAAGATGTTTAGGTCTGTCAAAACACAAGTGAGTCCAGTGCAGGGAATATCTTTACATGCACACTAGTATCCAGATCTCTTGTCTTGTCTTGACATCTGGGCAACTGGGCAGACTCAGTGCAGTAGGGCACTCCTCTGCTTGCAACCCGGACTCATGTCTACATGGAAAATAAAGTATATCGTATCATTTTGCATCATATCGTGAGCTTAATTTACTTCTCCAAGAAATCCACATTATTTTAATGGCTGTCTGTCATAGCTGCAACCAGACGATAAGCTGTTGAGGAAACTCAGGGTAATTCTGATCTGCTCAGATGCCAAGAACATCCTGAGAATCCCCTGGTTCCTTTTTGCTCAAGAAAATATCTAGAACTAGGTCAGCAGGAATTAGGGAATGCTGCCATGGGCACTTTTAGAAAAGACTGTAAGGAGAGAGATACCCTCTATCAATCATCCTTCCTAGTTTTCAACATCTGGAGGATGAATGTTGCCAGGACTGCAGCAGGTATTCCCTTGGCTCTGCAGTGTAACTTCAGGGCTTTAGGATGTCACGATGTGGAGGTGTTGACTTGAGTCATCACATTTGCTGACATCAGACTTACAAGTCCTCATACCAAAACATTATAAAGAAAGAATGACTCCAGAATGACTCATGAGTGTTTTTCGATCGGCTGTCTCTGTGGTAGTTTGGGAACTTAATCTTCTTAGTTGAGTTTAGAAGAAATGTTGCACTTATTGAATTAAAGAAACCAACCTTGAAGGTTTACTTGAAAGACTTTATACCTTCTGAAAGCTGAACAGTTCTGGCTGGTGCCAACATTATATTCAGAGACAGAACCTTTATTCAGAAAGGTGTTCAAATTATACATAAAAGCCAACATCAGTTGTTGTGATACACCTTTGGATGAATGCTTATTATTCAATAGAAGGAGTTGTTTGAAGTGTGTAGAGTATCTGTACAGAGAGAGGAATAGAAAGAAAAGACCAAAGTTACTGTGTTAATGGAAGCAGGCATTGATAAACTGCATGAAAAGATGTTTTATTTTAAATGGACACAGAAATTACAGCTTGTGTTTGGTTTTTGTTGAACACAAAAGCATCTCTGAAAGGTTGTCCATGTGTACAGTCATGGTTTTTATAACACGCAAGTCTTTTGTTAAAGCAATGCAAATATTTTTCCAATGGTGTTTTTTTATATAACAATATGAATATAGGCTGAACATCATGAAGACATACTCATGTTTCTGCACATGTATGCATGAATATTTCAGTGGGGTTAAAGAGCCGTTATGCAGATCAGCTCTCACTTTCTTTGCCACAGTATCAGGGTCATAATTGTTGGAGGGGAGAATATCATTATGTTCAAAAAGCAGCTCAGCTTTCCTCTGATGTATGCGTGTGTGTGTGTGTCTTTTACATCAAAGCCATAGAACGCTATTAATAGGGCCACTAATGGACTCTAATGGTAAATAGCCACATCAGCACTCAGGTTTTTGACTGTGCTGTGAATTTATAATGGAGGGAAGTGATAACAAAACTTAAGTACCTTCTAACTCACCTTTAATTGTGGTTTGGGCCGCTGCAATATAAAGCTTTATTTTAACATGGGGACTAACAAGCATGTGATTCATGATGAGATCCAGTTTAGTGCTAAAGTGACCTGCGTGGAATTACGACGTAGTATTTCTAGTGGAGCAAACTAATTATATACCAGCTCAGCGTGTCTCAAAGTCAGACTCATCAAGAGATGTGTTCAGAGGTAAAGGTCTTAGTCAGAATAAACTTAATTATTTTGAAAGATATCAGTCTGTGTCACCTGGTTGGTTTAAATCATGGCAGATGACACACAAAGTGAGTTCACCTGCAATCAATTATTGCTCACCAAGCAGCAGTTGTTTGTGTTTTCTTCATTTATTTCTTTACTGACTTTACTACTTTATGTATACCACTGACCTCCCCCCAAAAAAGTATTTGTTGTTCACAGCTAATTAGTTCTGTCTCCCTTTTCCTCTGTAGGTAATGCCATCCAGGCCTTTGGGAATGGGACAGATGTGGGAGTGTGGCAGCCGATGTCCCCTGTCCAGACGACCACTTCCACCACCACCCCCTACCAGAGGAACCGTGAACGCAACCCCAACACTATTGACAACCACATCAACACAGACCCTGGCATCTACCACTTCTGTGGCAGCTTACAGGTTAGACACAAAGTTTTGGATTCAGAGGACAAGGGTGTTTGGAGGCTCAACGGTTCCAGCCAGTCTGGGACAAATCTAATCTTATGGCATGAAAACATTTCCAAAACTTTTTTTTCTGTGTAGAAATAAGGTTGGCAGATGGATCAAGTTTCTGAGCTACCAATGCTCTTCATCTGACCTGTTGATCTTTCTATCCTTTTCAATCAGTCTCCCTATCCATATAACTACAATGTCTGTTTATCTATAGCTGTCTTACTGCCTGTCTGTTTCAGTTGCATACCACAGTTCTTCTACATCCTCTGGCTCTCTCTATCTCTTTTTACTCTCAGGCTAGCTCCATTTGTTTATCTAATATTCTTACAATGTCAAATATGTCAAGTTAAGACAATGAATCAAGTGAGTCAATCAATAAAGTGAGGGTTGTTCATGTTGCAAATAAGTCTTATGCATAAAACCATACAAAAGTGCAGACAGCAGTTTACAGCAAACAACCTCAGACAAGCCCTGGTTAACAAGCGGCTGGTGGAGGAACTGAAACATTTAGCAGCTAAAGAGTCAGATATTTATCTTAGGTGTTGGTGGAGACCAAACCAGAGCTAAAAGGAGAGTGAATATAAGACTTACAATTACAAAAGATGATGATGTTATTGTGTGTCTGCTTGATGTGCAAGTAGACATTTTGCTATGACAGTAGTATGGCAGGGCTTTGTTAGCTTAATTTGGAGCCTTTCTACCCTCTGATGGTCAAAAACAGCCAAAATGCGGCTTTAATACAGTGATCGTGAAATTTGAACCTGTCTCAGGAGTGCCTCCCTGTATCAAATCATTTAGTGAAATTAGTTGCACATAAAATACTAGATTGAACATTGTGCTATCGTATCAAAATGTTAGTTACTGTGGTTTTATCCTCATTCATCCTCCACTTCGTCTTTTTCCCTTATTTGTCCTGATCTGGATTTGTCAGTGTATCAGTTTGGCTGGTGACACACTTGTGTAGATCCATCTGTGTATCTTTATGTGCCAGCCACATTGTGCCTGATATGACTCTGAAACTATATTTCTCAGTTGGAGCAGCCACTCCTGCTCTACAGGAACAACAGTTATCTGGCTGATGAAACAGAGGGATCACAAGCAGCAATCCTGAACACCGGTGATGGGCTCCTCCTGGGTCAGGGAGGAAGTGGGGATAAAACTGTCATTACCAGCAGAGCGATGACAGGGACTCAGAGAGCCATTTCACATATAATTATACTGCAACCCGATGAAGCATCGTAAAATTACAAAACTTACTGTGTACCCACGTTTAGAGAAAATCCCTCAGGAATTTCAAACTGAAAGCTTGTTACTATTTATGATGCTCCCCACTGTTGTAGTGATCATGTATTACAATGCAGTGTTTCTAAATGTTTTTTGTTACTGCATGGGAGAGTGTTGTCTCTGCTTCAGCTTTAAAGCCCCTATCCAATATTTGAACACATAACCAAGCGCTTTGTGTATTTCTGAACTGAACATTGTTTAATTAATTGTTTTGCCACTTGGGGGCAGTACAACTAGAGGTAAACACAATATTTACACATAATCACCTCATTAAATTGTTATGGCAAATGTTTCAATAGAGAGTTGCAAAGCATCATTAGCATTCTGGGTGTTTCTGGCTACCTGACAAATCCGAGTTTAAATTCACTCTTCTTTTAGTTCTGTTTTGGTCTCCACCATCGCCTTAGCTGCTAAAGGCACCACTATGTTTTTTTCAATCTGCAGTTTGGTGCTGGGTTTATCTGAATGCAGCTGCCTGATATATTATTAACCAAAACAGTTTAGCTGCAAGCTGTAAAACCAAAACAATGAACTGAAAGATGCTAAAATGCTCTGTAGAGCAGAGGAGCAATGCTGAGCTGTGTAGTAGCTGTGTGTGCTGTCACTTTGAGTTTCACATTACAGATTGTTAGTTGATCCATTGTTAATATATTAATTAATGCAGCTTTGTTGGAGTTAAGGTCAATTACTAAACTGCTAAATCTATGTATATTTAATCTCAAACAGCTATCGGAAGCGTTCTGCTTTCCGTTTGTTGTACGTTTGTAGTCCGAGTAGTAGACCATTCATGTTTGAGTGGGCTTTGGTCGCATTCTGTCAGTGTGGAGAGCAAAAGAGGCAGGACACATTGGTTGAAATGCTATCTTGGAACCCATCAGCTATCGCTTGATAACAATTTAGTTGTTTCTTTTATCTTTAGCTTTCATATGCAGATCTCAAGTAAGCAATGACTGGCACATGGAACCATTATCCAGATATCCACTGGCT